CTCAAGTTCCAGAAGAAATCAGAAACCATTTTATCGTGGGCGTGGAATCTGATATATTCAGAAAGAATCTTACTCTTTTGCTTCTTCACTCAGGTATGGCTCCTTTAGACCGGCATGCTGAATGGAAAAATAGCGATTTCAACTGTTTTATTCGTAACAGACGCTTTCTCTACAGACCTTCTCTTCAGGGCTGAATGCTTCTGTCTCCTTAGACGTCGTGCTAAAAGAACCCGCAAGTGAATCGTTCCTACTACTTGAACATCATCTGTCTCTATTTGGCTTTTCTTTCTTTTTCTTTTATATACATTGTTTTTTTTGACAAATTTTTTTTACTACGCCCTCCTGACCTATATAACTTCTAAATAGGTAGTGAACAAGATTTCGCTGCAATAACCATATAAGTAAAAATTTATGCGTGAATGTAACCACCGTTGCTCCTATTCCCACTCCCTCCAGGAAGCATCAATTTTTTCGAGTAATCCCAGACAGCAGTATCGATGTAAGTGTTCCCTATATGGTGCGCATTGCTATGAGAACCGGATTCTCAAAAAATAGCCACTGAGCTTTGCAGTTTGTAGCATTTCTGTGTAATTTCCATCTTCTCACCTACCTTCCCACTTTTACTGGCTTTTCTTCAGGACAGATTTGAAGAGAATTCAAGCACCATAGAACCCTGGTAAGAGCACCATCCCTCAATGAAATGTAAACAGTGGGGCGATAGAGGGAAGGGTCGAACAATAGCAGCGTTTCCTCTGGGACTTCAGGTTTTTTACAGCAAAGTAGTATCTACACGTCGAAGTGTCCGACCCAAATGGGCTCTCTCCTCCTTTCGGTGTTGAAATTGACCTGCCTCCTATATCCATTTCCAGCTTAGACGCTGTGGTCCGGAAACACAAACACACACAGGCACACACACACACACCTACGCACACACACAAACACACAATCATACACAAACACACGTACACACATACACACACAGCGCCCTATATGCAATAAAGTCCTCCTTACTAGAGACACGAAATGAGATGTGACCTGGAACAGCCTTGGAATAATTTTTGTAATTCTATCATTTCGGAGTTGATTTCGTTATTAATATTTGCTTAATAACCTTGAAGTTGACGATGCGGTGTGGCCTTCTTTAGGTACGAGGAAAATTCCTGAAAAAATTTCCTAAAATTAATTTCTGTGTGTGACCAAGCGTTGCTAACAGAACGATTTCATCGTCTACCGCCTTCTCGTTCATTGTCAAATGCAGTCTTGATCGGCACCCCGAGTGACTCTCGATCCCGGGTTCAACCAGAAACAACACATCGAAGACTACTTTAATCATTTCGAGATTATGGAGAGTCGATCCCGGACCAACTCCCTAATATATCTTGCAAGTGAAAAACAACTAGCTCGCACTATTGTCAGCAAAGGCTGCAGCTAACAGATTAGCCGAAGTGGTGATCAAATCTATTGTCCTCCAAAAAACTTACAATTGTTCCAAATACCACTGAAAGGTAAAATAAAATGTGGAACTGGAGCTCCATAGAGCTCGTGGAGCCCGATATGGAAACGGCCAACACCGTACTACTTCTGGTTCATACCCTATGAGCAGTTTTCCCTACTTTGGATCAAAACTCTGATGTCGTTCCCTCTAACCTTTTTTCAAATGATCGTATAGGCATTGATAATAGTCCGGTTCATCTTTCCCTCTCTTCTCTTCCAAAAAATCCTGAACTTAGAATGTTTTTCAGGTATTCGTCATAATTAAGCTGCCCACGATATAAGCTCATTACCTCAAAAGTCGTTAAGTTTTGTGCACAGTAGGTACCAGAATCGCAATAACATTTTATTCTCTGGGCTTCTTCTTCACTCCCTTCCTCAGTTCGAATCTCGGCTGGTTTTATTTCACAATTACCCATGCTTTGGTTAGTCTAAAAAAGCAAAACCTCTTTCATAAAGATAACCTGGAACGAGATGGGCTGGTGTTCGAGGATTCCGCTATGCTATATCGAAGCGGTCATTGTAGAGCAATAAAATAGTCACCATCGAGCCTTCTCAGGTATTTTTCTAGTAATTCTACTCCTCCTCTCTCATAGACTTACTCAAGCTCCATTCTATTTTCTAGTTTTCGCAGAGTGCTATGAAGCTTATTACCTCGAAAGTCGTTACGTGAATGCTTCAGAATTTTACCAGTTGACCAACATGGCAGAGTACAAAAACTCCGTCTTTATTGCAATGATTCCCTGCTTTTTATTAGACTTTTGTTTATTCTTAGGATGAGAATGTGACACACAGCGGGCCACTGTAGGGCTATGCTTTATGAGAGCTTAGGTTCAGTGAGAAAACTCACCTTCTTGCCTCCCCAGAGCTTGAAACTTATGAGTTCACACGTTCCATTTCGATAGTCCACAGTGAGAGCGCATAATTCGTGTTTCTGGAAATTTTCCATAACTTGCCTCCAGCTTCAGCACTCGGCCGGTGAGACGCAAGAATCGCTCGTCGTGCCCGCCGAAGGTTCTTTCCCCTCGTCGGCTGCATGTGGATACGTGGTGCAACCAATTGCAGAAAAGAGGGCCCGCTTTATGAAAATTGATTTCCTTTGTGCTCTTCCCGTAAAAAGGTAGGTTATGCTGTGGCAAACGACATCGCGTTTCCTGCAGTCTAGAGTGAAAGAAGAGATGCGCGTTCCCATAGAACTGCTCAACCCCCTAGCCGAGATCGTCAGTATTTAAGCCTTCGGTATGAGTGGTTGGTGGAATTGAGATCATTGGAAGGGTGATAGCACTGCTTTCATCCAATACTGAGCCCTAGAACGCAGAAAAGGAAGGGTAGCTGAACTTACTTGCTCAGGGACGGTTCCTAGTCCATGGAATGAATTTTTTCATTAGACTTCAAGAGAGGAGGAGCACCGGGGTGAGTGAGACGTTTACCTAGGGAAATAAGTCGAGATGGGATTGAAAATTGAACTTACAACAGTCCCATGCATCCCGGTGCTCCATCCTCTTGAGGATTAAGTAGAAAAACTAAACTTTCTCTGCAAAGAAACGTTCTGAGCACCACTATGGGCTCGCGAAGTCGGCTACTGCTCCTCTAATGGAGAACAGCCGTGCTCCCTCTCTCAACTACATTTTCGCAAAATGTTTCATTCAGGATTAAAAGTCCAGATTAGTGAAGCGCATTTCGTTACAACATAGGGATTTTCACACACCTACTTATACAGTACCTATCCAGGAAACCATGTATAAATAGATCTTAATACAAAATGAGATGGTTTCTGTGAGCACAAACTTGTTTTCCCTTCCTCGTCGTGTAACACTGCCTGGCTATAACTCCTTGTAGATTAACCAATCCAAATGTAATTAAAAAAGCTAGGAGCACTGAAAGAGTTCCATACAAGATAACTGATAGAAGACAAGATCCTGAAAGACCTGGAATAGAGATTAACAGCCAACTTACTATAATGCACCAATAATGAAGCCTCTTCTGAAGATGCAATATGAAACAATGGCAGAGCTTCACACCCTGAAACTTGTAAACAATTTTACCACCCCCATTTTGATAAAAAGAGCTCCAATCCAGTTCTAACCTTCAACCACAGAAGAATTCCAAGTCGAAATGGTCATTTGAAGTGAGATCTTGCTACTCGACGTTTTCAAACACTGAACTTAAATGTGAGTTACCATATACATATTGTGTCACAGGGCAAGGAGCATTTGGATCCGCGGTTACCTTTTCGAAACTGCGGTCCTTCCTATTTGAGGTACGCCTCGAAAACTCAGACCTTCCGATCAGAAAGCAAGATGAACCTGCAGCCATCGTCATTCAATGCGCTGTGGAAAGGACGATGCTGGGAATTTCACTATTCACGCAAGGGCAGAAGTGAGTCCAGAGTTCCGAGCTCCGACAACGAACGGAGACCAGGAATGCCGTTGGTTACGCCAAGAAGTCCAAGATCATATTATGCGATATTGTTATGACCGTTGGATCAGAGCGGTTATGAACTGAATCCCTCTGGACGTCAGACCAACGCCAGGATGGCCGCCAGCTCGATGGTCAGATTTCACGAAAGTTTGAACGAAAGGAATATTCTGCCTCGTGTCCTTCCAGCGAAGACGATGCATGGGGCCACTGCAGCTCGCGAAGGTAGGAATGGAGACGTTACTGGTGCCCGCTCGAAGAAATCGAAGGTCAACGGAATGGTTTTTTCAGGTTACATAGGTGATTGTATTTTAGCATCTCCACCTGAAAAGAAATACCGCACTTCGACTGCTACGATCATGTATGTTTGGTTGAATGATTACCTATGATTACCTTCGCAAAATCCATAGCCGCTTCGAAATAGGTGCAATTGGAGCAAGGTAAGGAGGCATACGGTGTGCACGAATTAGTATGACGTTCGTTTTGCGAACTCGTAAAGAGTGTTGTAAGTTCTTCTGCTGTGAGCGATGTGAAGGAAGTAGTATGCGACCAGAGAAACTACATCGTTCACGCCTGTAGGAGACACAAAACCGATCTGGTGCTGCTACGAGTTCAACATTCTAGCTAATCTCCAAAACAACACTTATTTCGCATCCAGAGAAATGAGAGGTCACACACAACGTCCATTTCAATTCCAGAATCTCATCCAGTGAAACAGACACCTCGAACATCTCGAAGAAATAGTCGAGTTTCATAAAGCAGAGTTGAAAAGATGGAAAAGAATGCCGTATTCGTTAAGTATAAGGCGGCTACCGAGAGGTTCTGTGCTCAAGTTATCCGAGCACCTCTCTTATCAAGAGCTCACGGGCACAAGTTTTTTGTGACTCCAACCTAACACCCCTTCCATGGCTTTTTCACAACGGGCTCAAAAAATATTTATGTTAAACTTCGATAAAACATAACAAGTTTGAGACTATAAACAAGTAACTAACACAGCGGTCCATAACATTCAACAAATCACCAGATGAACAAAGTGGACCGTAACAAACAACCGGGAAAGATGGGTTCAAATTGTCTGAAAATCTTGTCCATCAAGCCTTCACTTTTTTGGACTTTCTTTTGATTCTGTCAGGTAGCTGCTGAACCATAATCAATCCGTGATAATAAAGAAGGTGACAGAGTGCTTGCACTTCAGCACCATTCATTTCCTCAGGCATTTCCGAAAGAGACATCCATTCCGGGTAGCTGTTGCTCAGCGCATTGAATCCACTTACAAACTTGAAACAAAACACATACGTAATAGTGACGACACCGGTTGCGAACTATATAGAACCTCTATTACCTCAACTGGAAGTTCGAAAGTCTGCTCAGGAAGCCCTTCATAAAGACGAGAATTAGCCATTCGATGAGCTATATAGCAGCTGTCTTCACTTTCAAACAGGAGTCTGAGTGAAATTAGGCGCTGAGACAATCAAGAAAGCAAACGATAAGCAGATAATTATCACCTTTGAGCATGCCTTCGAATGAGCTTTACTTTGGTGCTCGGACGGAATTCCATCACAGCACCGTTGAGAATGTCTGTCCCACAACCCATAACACTGTGTTGCTTTTCTTCTAAAAGTGAAGTTTGAACGCGAGTAAAAGCATTTGCGCATTTCCATCCAATGCAAAGAAAAGCGCTACCAATAAAGTCAAACGCGAAAAAGGTTCTAATTATCCTCTTCCGTGATGGAGTTCTCGACAGAAACGAAGCGGTCTTTAGAAGAGTTTAAAAAAGGGAAACAAAGTAAAGACAAAACGAAGTGGATGAGGCTTTTCCCAGCAGTAGGTCAGTTCCATATTACTACTAGCAGCACTTTTACTGACACCTCCCGATTTTATGAACATGATATCCTTTCGAATGCTCCCTCCCCGACCATCGAAACAGAAAAATGCGTTGTAGTGTTTGGATTGTTGTCTGGGTAAGAAGAAGGGGGTGTGTGTCAAGTCGTGCGTCCGAGAGTGCGCGCGGCAAATTGCGCGGCGAAGTTCGCGGCGAATTTGGACGACTCCGGCGCCTATCATTGGGGCCCAAATCTGAAGTAAGGTAGATTAGTAAGGTTAGCTGATCCTACTATTCTACTGTACTTCGAAATTGGGCACAAATAATAGGCGCTGAAGTCGTCAGAATAGGTATGGGTTTCGCCGCTCAATTTGCCGCGCGCACCCTCGGACGCACGACTTAACCGTCCCCCAGAAGAAGGAAGAAACCGAAAAACGCCGGCTATGTTGTTTCAAAACTGACCTGGGGTAAGCAGAGGAGGCAAAGCAGTTCTCATAAACGCACGAGCCATTAAATCTATGCCACCGTCACAAACTTCCCTCAGTGAGTTCCGCAGAGCAGTCATGTGGCGATCGACTATAGATTTCCACCTGAATGTAACAAACAAATTATGGAGGTCAAAGACAGATTCTTAGGGAAAATAATATACTGACGCTTTGAAAAACATGCAGGTGCGGGTAGTAACACATAGACGAACGACCAATTTTTAAGCACCAATCAAGTCACTAAGGTTAACGAAAATGGGATAAAAAATCCAGCGCATATTATACTTCATACCTCTTCACACAATAAACTTATTCAGAGGAACTATTTTGAACGTACCCGTCTTCAAAATGCTCCTCCAGACGGTAATCTATCTCTGCTACACCGTTCATGTCAAGCATCCCTACCGGCAAAGATTTTCGCATTTTCCAGCGATTCTTTGCCAGGGTTGTTACAGCTTCAGGCACCTAAACTCTCGCGATATTTCCACAAGCTGAACATGTGACTGTTATATATAGTTATGCTAACAAGTTTCTCCAAAAGATCCGCGAAAGACCATAATCTCCCACTCGATATAGTGATGTGAAGCGAATGTACATTGTCATCAGTTGTAGCCTGAGAATGAGAGATCTTATAACAAACTTTTGTGGAGGATATTTCTATCAAGTGCCTACGTTGTGAATAAAGCCACGAGGAATATAAAGGAGATCGCCAGCTTCGATCCATCCTTCAAAGGTCGGTTTACGGTTTTTCATATCCTCGTCATTGAAATTGCCTTGAAAAACGAAACGTTAGACAAACATATATAAGCTCGCTACAGTTCATTTTTGCGACCCACCACTAGGTTCTCTCGGCAATTCATTGTCCCTGGAATCTGGAGCATACACTTTCCAGTATTTCCTTCCTTCCAACTGGAGTAAGAAGGCATCGATCTCGTCCCAATGAGGGGCAAAACCAGCTGATCCGGGCGGCGTCAAGTACCTGAAATAAACGTTATCCTCTTTGGAATCATTCAAATTTCTGAATTGAACTAAGTGAAACAATCAATCAATGCTCACGTGTTTGCTCCCACGAAACAGCCAAACAACTCTTGCAAAACTTCACACAGATACCAGACCCGATTGTCAAATGTCTGCGGGTTTACAAATTGCACAGAGCGACCGAGCTATAAAAGAAATCTTCCAAAACGACAAAAAAAAAAAGCTTACCAAAGGAATTGGACCAATCGACTCACCGAGAGGTGTTCCTTGATGTGATCGGGATACACACGACCTTTTCCATTCAAAGTTAGACGAACTCCATCTTTATACTCGGCTATGTTGATGTTTGTACCATACTCGAGATGGTTCTTAAAGAAATATGTGGTAAATTGAAATACCAGAACTTCAATTACACGCATATGGCTTCGATCAGCGACTAATCAAGCTGTTCTCAAAAGAAAATCATTCGCTAGGCACAGCGTCAAATGAACGGTACCCACGTCACCGCTAACTGCTTAGAACAGAAGCTTTTGACTACGGATGGACAATAACTTACATTCTCAAGGAGTTCAACAAAGTGTTTAGTGGAGTATAAGTTGTTGTAGTAATTAGGAGTTCCGCGTTTGGAAATGAGGGCATTTGTTTGGAAGAAATCCCTGAATAGGGTTCAGTGACAGGTAGTAGCTCTCAGGTTTCTGTAAATCGAATCAACCAACTTGAAGAAAGATTGCACATCACATGGCGCAACCATCCAAGCAAAAGCTCGGGTCGCTGTGACGCTGGAATCTTCGTCAGTGAATGGGAACTTGTCGAAATCCGGAAGATGCAGTATAACATCCGCTTCATTGCACTGAAACAAAATACTGTTGCTCAAACACAAATTTAAACTATCTGTATTGCATAGAACGATCCCAACATTGGCTTTTAAGAAATTATCTAAAGCCTTAGGAAATCGAATAACTAACATACCGTCAGCACCATTGCTTCTCTATCTTCCCCGAGGCTTGCCTCTCCCTCAGAATCTTCATCACTAACCTCTTCATCATATAAAACATCGTCTTCTTCTGCCGAATCACCCTGAACATTGGATATTCTTAGAAAGATGGTTACTTTTGCCTCTCACTATCAGCACAAGTCGCAAGCTCTCGCTTTCATATGTTGGAGAAAAGCTTGAGAAGCTAAATAAATGCTTTAAGTAACCTCTTCATCATCTACTTCTTCATCTGATGACTGCTCTATATCTTCGCTTGCATCACTCTGTGACGGTTCCTGAAATGGCAAGGTACTCAGGAAGATGGAAAGCAACGACGTAGTCATCCACCGCAGTAGACAGAGCACCTTTTGTTGATGAAATGGGATACAATGTATAATTATTTTGTATTAGAGATAACCCATGCGTCAAAGAACTACCCTTTAAGGATACTGCATTGAATGTACCGGAGCTTTCACATCTCCTAGGTACTTATCAAACTTACCATAATGCGAAGCAATTCAAAACTGTCTACACCTTACCTCTACAAAGCTGACCTTCCGTCTATCTTCTTCTACTTCATCATCGACAGCATCGTCATCATCACTTTCATCTTCAACTTCATCAACCTCATCATCTTCTTCATCAATATCTTCCTCATAATCTTCATCCTCTTCTGAGTCTAAACTTATACCTTTGAATACTTTTATACTGAACAGCTTCTGAAATCTAGAAAATAATAGAATACACGCATGCCTATCTTTGCTTTATTTGCATTGTATTGGAACATTGGTGAATTGAAAAAGATAGTATAGGTTGTTAGTTGTGATTGTTGAAGTTTACTGTTCACAGATATCTGGGCCATTAATACAATCAATTTTCACGGTATTGTATGAATGATTGAATGGTATGGCTAAACAAAATGAAACACTGACGTACCATAAGTGCCGTCGCTTTCCAGTCCCTCGAGGTTTTCTTCATTTTCTGCAAAAAATGTCTTGATTTTGTAAAGATTTCAAACAAGTCGAGAAAAGTTTTCAGTCAATCTGGTAACAGGCTAACATCTGCTATGGGCTACTAACATTTCACTTGGCTAAATCCCTGCATGGTGACTCTTGATTTCTCGAGATTTGATGATCATATGACTTTCGTCACCTTTCACACAGGGTCGTCCTAGTGATCAAAATTATCAGCAGTTAGACCATGAGTAATTCCACACAAGGCCATCATCAGTGAAAGGTGTAAACAAGCTGTCAGGGTTTGCTACTTCTTTCCATTTAGAACTAAGCAGGTATAGCCCATTACATTTCATTGCAGCGAACGCGTTTTCGCAGGCAAGTTATTCAAACCCTCAAAAACACTCAGTTTCGGATGCCTCTACTTTGCTATGCAATCCTTAAAATGACAAGTCGTTTACAAGGGGAAGATGGCAACCACGAATGAATGAGGTTTCCTAAGGACAAACCGACCCTTCTTCTTTAAAGATCTTTACTTTAAACCTGGATTCCTTACATTAAAAGACTCATTTTCTGCTAATTACCACAAAATCAAAATGGCCTTAGCGTCATGCCCTTTCCTCCTACTCCTCTTAATCGGGAAACGATATATCTGAGCAGTTCAGGTCTCCGCCCAAACGCCAAAACTAAGCAGCAACTTCTCCGACTTTATCAGAAGTGCCCAAGCTCGGCAGTCCGCTGCGACTAATAGCCTTATTTCAACAAGGTAAAAGCCGCCCCAACAATTTCCATTTCCTTGGGTTTTATTTGAAGCAGAGTACTGTCTGCCTTATGCAGCAAGCAGGGCTGAAGTCACGGAACAACCTTCTCTCCCTTACATTTCTTGGTTACATTCACCGAAGCGATCTGTGAAAACAATTTGTAGGATTTTTCCTCGTCTGATTTGATTTGATATCAAATCAAATCAAATCAATTTATGCCCGTCTGCTTCAAGTAGCTATGTGTGCCTCTACGAATATTATATGAGGGGAACATGATAAACACTCTGGCCCTTATGGAAATGAGAAAACTTTTATCACCTTTTTCGCCTTCCTCAGCACGAGTACGTCTAGGGCGTTTCTTCTGAAAAAAAAAGTGCCGACACACCAACCCTGGGAAAAGCCCTTATGTGGGAATCTCACCTCCTTCTTCTTCTCGGTAGAGTCCTTGCTTTTGATGACATTAGCAAAAATGTTGACATTGCCATCATCATTGACTGAGAAACCAATATTAATTTAGGAGTTGAGACGTCTTAATTGTAAGATACTTACCTGTCCTAGATTTTTTTGCAGGCATTTTGCGGACAGGTGAGATATCCGTGTTTTCACTATCTTCAGAGCGATTTCTCCTCTTGATTCCATGTCCCTGCCCAACATGGATCTCGATACGTTTCGCATTCGAGCCATCGCTTATGCGTTGTTTTTTGTTTTTAAACTAAACTGACATCTCGACCGCCAGACCAGTTATAAACGGTTTTTCAACGCATACCTTCTCATAATGCTTGACTTGCGGTTCTTTCTGGGCGGGTTTCTTGTAGAAAACTTCGCCTGAAAAAACATGAAATGAGGGTCTTCTTTTATCAGACATACAGTAGCGTTCAAAAGTATTCGGCCAAATGTTTCTTCCGTCGTGCTTTACTGGATCTAATCATGAGAAATTTCGGTATGCGTAACAAGGGTGTAGTGTGAATATTTACCACTATCAACCAGCATTCTGATCATGTTCCAGATATCCCAAATCTTTAACTCAAAACCAACTGGAAACTGGAAAACGGATGTCGGTTCTTCTGGAATTTCTTTCCTTTTTACCATGTCTCAAGTCTACGAGCGCTAATACAGAACACAGTGAAGGAAAAAACGCATATAAGGTGTGAATAACTACAGACGTCACAAACTTGCTTTCAGCACAGTCTACAAACGCCTCCCCATTAGTACGTGTATATGGCTGCTTTGCAGTCAAGTAGTGTTGGACAGGGTGACATGCTTCAGCAAAACATATCAAAAGTTCATACGATTTGATCCACTGGGTAAAAGGTTACGGCCAAAAAGGCCTGGCCGAATACTTTTGAGCGCTATTGCACATTAGTACGCATCACTCACTCTCCGTTCTAGTGTCCTCATTCATATGCTACAAATACCTCGATTAATTTTTAAATTACTATATAATTCTCCAGTCCCGGTACTTTTTGTAATAATTTCGAAAAATAGTCCTTATTTCGGTGGTGCATCCTCATCGAAACTGCCCTTTAACGCTTTCGAGTCGAATT